TTTATTACTTTAGTTCGTCGCATGTGTAGCCTCCCACGCAGGCGTTTTTAGGGGAGCTCGTTTTTCATCCCTCCCCTTAATAGACGAGCTCCCCCCAAAAAATTGTAAATTGCTTGTTTACCCACGAAGCACATAGGAATTCATATGAACTCGTTTAAACGTGTCCGTGCGTTCCAGATCGAATTGGAATTGCGAGATCGCATAAATGTAGAAAAAAAGTACCGTAGCTTAATTTGGCAAAAGATCGGGCAATGCTACTTTTCAGGTATCAAACTAGTTATTCGGAGAACGGTTTTGATCAAGTAGTATATAAATGAACGATTTTTTGAGTGTTTTAGGGGATTTTCTCCCCGGACTGTCCACTTGGAAAGAAGACATGTTTAGTATGACGATCCTAATGTCTTTTCTTATTTCTTCAGTATATGTTCTAACAAAAGGTGTTTTTTGACAGTTATTAACATGACATGCTTAATACGAACACTCCGTTGATACATACACTCAGTATGGCCTCTTCAATGTCCTTATTAACGGGGTTTGACTGTACTTAAAATTAATGTCGTATTTTAATCTTTAAACTTTCTTTACCAGAGTTTCAAGTAATGATCAGAGTTGGCCTGGTTTCTTAAGAGATGTGCTTCATTCCATTACTGAGAAACCATCTGGAGCTCGAGATCCTCAACCAACTGACTCAGTCCAAGAACGTTCCTTAAAATGCCGAGAGTCAGTAAGGGGATCAATTTCCGTACACCATTTTCTTGCGCTCGGTCTTATTAAACTCCAGGCAGGAACGATCCCGATGAGAGAGGACCAGCGTGTGTACCTGTCTCAGATCGGCACGATTGGCATTGACGTTGACGGCATACTTCGCCACTGATTCTATAACGCATTCCATGGACGTAGCATGAGAACGACGAGAATTGAAAACGTAGGGATTCGGGCGACCTGTTAGCAAAAATTATAACAGCCCAAAAAAGCGCTCCCAGTTTTGGTATTCTGCTCTGGGTTAGACACATCCATGCGTTTAGATGCATCCATGCCCATTTGAATTAGAGGGGATAAATTTTAAGTTAATTTAATTATGTTTCTGTATTCAGCGGGTGTAGACTAACAGTTATATATGGATGAGACAGAATTAAAGTTCTTTTACCGGACATCAACTTTAGGCTATGTTCACAATCTACCCGGTGGCTTTTGCGCCGGCACGAAAATCATACCGCATAGGGTTTCTGTTCACACATGAGAGTGATGATTTGGCGCGATTCTTGTAACAGAACCTGCGAAGCGCCGATCTGTAAAAGGAGTCACATATCGAACTGGTGTTCTTACTAAACCGAATAGCATTTTGTATCGGCACGATAAGCTATCTGATATAGTGTGGGGAGAGCCCTAGTTTTCCCAATATTTCAGACGCCCCCTTCTTTCTTCAGGTGATCTAGCGAATAATAGGAGCCACTGACTGTGCCATTGATACAGTAGATATTAATAAAACGGCTGTACTAATTTCAGTCAGGAGCCGATGGCTCCTGTTTCTGTACTAGAATTGGACCTCTTAAAATGCATATCAAACAGGTTTTGGTTACAGTGTTCATGCAAAGCACTCTTGCAGTTTTTCTCAGTCAAAGCTTCCGCCCTTTCCCAACTTAGGATGGGAGACCACAAAGGCGACGGCAGCGAGAGGCACGCGACAGGAGACACGAAGGCTTAACCGCTCGCTCGCGCGTTCTCGCGCGGCTCGCTTCGTTCGCCCAACTAGGAGAGCTTGCTCGCAGGCTACTATTACTTTCAAGGTAGTCCCTCGGCAAAGACCTCCTTGTGTCTTAAGGAGAAAAGAAAAAAGATGAGGAAGAGTCCAGAGGCCTGTTCCCATTCTAAATTACTGACCTCTTCCCATCGTCCACCGCGCGCTTACTAGGTTTTTTTCCTTTTTTATCATTGCTGTTCTTGATACCCAGCGGGAGCCTCTGCGGAGGCGGAAAGCGCGCGCATCTCACGTTGGCGTTGACTCCTCTTCATCTCAGGTTATTTTCGACCCTTAACACCCCTTACTCCAGGTTTTGCCCTAAAGCCTGTTTTTTAACATAAGAAGGATGCTGCACAGGGTAGGTAAGGAATCTCGCTCTCGAGGCCACCGCATGATATGGACGAGAAGGTGACTGAAGAGGTGTATGTATATAGGGG